TGGCATGGGTCACTTAGCTGGCCAGGGCCTGGTCAGCTAGTTGAAGGCACAGGGTAGGCATGGACAGTGCCATTTTAAGTTCCTCAGGATTAGTTAGATGGCCTTTAGTCTTTTGTCTAGTACCTTGACAATTATACCTTCAATGGGAAGATATTAAAGGAAGTAATGTTCAAGTAAGACCCTTTTCAAAATAAGCATCAATTTGGTGGCCAGCACAGTACACAGTGCTAATGCGGTAACAGAGAAGTACATTTAGATTCAGTATCTTCCAGTCTAGCAAATACCTGCCCTAATTACATAATCAGTTTTGCCTATAACGTGAATTCCTTGAAGGCAGGCTCCTTGTCTTATGCAGTGTCTCCATAGTACGGCCACGCTGGTAAATGTCTAATGGACAGTAATTTCTTTTTTTTTTTTTAAAGATTTTTTTTATTTATTTATTTGAGAGAAAGAGAGAGAGTGAGAGAGAGAGAGCGCAAGAGGGGGTAGGGTTAGAGGGAGAAGCAGACTCCCCGCCGAGCAGGGAGCCTGATGCGGGACTCGATCCCGGGACTCCGGGATCATGACCTGAGCCGAAGGCAGTCGCTTAACCAACTGAGCCACCCAGGCGCCCTGGACAGTAATTTCTGATTTACTAAAAGTGTTTCTCACTTATTTGCAATTCTTAGGTTCCATCATATACAAAATAAAAGTCCAAACTCTCTGGCCTAGTTTCCAGAGCATGCTGCAACTCTAGAACTCACCTCATTTGTCTCATTTCCCATTGCTTCTTTACATACATGCTGTGCTCTGCCCAATCACTTTTATAACTTGCCTCTGGACACACCTTTTCCAGTTGCTCATGTAGGGGGCCAGAATATGCCACCCCAAAATATGCTACTTTGGCATAAGGATTATTTTGAGTAAATGAGAATTAATAGATGCAGAAAGAAGCCTTCCTGAGGTTTCCTTTATCTGACTAAAAGCTGAAACTTCTGAAAAATGAGGACTGCCAGAAATCCCCTTGCCCAGGGAGGTTTCATGGCCATGAAGAACATCTTTAGGCCAGTGCGAAGATGGACCTGCACAAACCTTTATTCCATTAATTTTCCTCATATGTTTACCTTCCAATGGTTTAGTGCTTTTGAAAGTTGAAAACTTTTTCTCTTGTTTTTTCTCCACAAATTATTGTTGTTTTGTTAAGATGCTATATTAGCCCAAGTTCTAACCACCCCTTTGAGTTACTCTTCATTGAGGTTTCTCCTGAATGATGTGAGCTGTACATGTTAATAAACTGTTTTTCTTTTGTCAATCTGTCTTTTGTCAGTCCAATTTTACAGGGTCCCAGCAGGAGAATCTAGGAGGGTAAAAGGAAAAAGAATTTTTCCTCCCCTACACTCACATTCTTTTACTCTCTTAGATATCATTCCTTTCCCAACCCCCTCATCAAAATCCTACCCATGATTAAAATGAAGTTCAGATTCCACCTGTTCCTAAAGCCTTCTCTATCTAGATCTGCTTGAAGCAATCATGCCTTCAGAGCTCTAGTCCATGCCCTCAAGGACACGGCAATAAATGATCATCAATCAAGCACTGTCTTGGCATGCCTATTCTATGGATGTTTAGAACTTTTATTCAAATTTCTGTTGACATATTGCTCCTCTAATCTGCCTTGAAATGCTTTAAAATCTAAGACTTGGTTGTGTTCAATAAACCCTTGTACCTGAGATATCTCAGAACCTCCCAAGTTTATGACTTTCCTTGTAGCACATGATTTACCCCATAAAATGCAGGAAGGGACACACTCAAAAGCAGTCTTTTATGTACAATATTTTAAAATTGCAAACCTCAATCCATTAAACTATGCCTTGGAAGCAAATAAAATCAAGTATTTATTGAGCTATGTGACCAGGATTCTGGTAGGTACTGCAGAGAATAGGATGATACATAGTAGACTTTTGTGAGAGACTGAAAATACAAAGGGACAATGACCATAGCATATATAAAAATAGAACTCTGACTCACAACCTCTGCAGCAGTCTGTCCAGAAAGGCAAAACCACAATCTCTGTGGCAACTGGCCCCAAATGGCCAGGACTTGATCAGTAACTGCCAGCTTCCTTAGTTTTTGCCCTTTCCAACCTAGGGCCAACTAGAGAAAGGCATTTACTCCTAAACAATCACATAGGATGTCCTGCTTCTAGTTAGTCTTCTAAAACCTGCTATCAAGGCATACCCGAAGCCTTTTCCTACTGTAAAGCTTTACACTCCCTGACTGCTTTTGGGTCTCGGCCCAATTCAAGTGTGGTGGCTGACCACTTACTATAGCAAGCTCTGAATAAATATCCTTTGCTTTGGGTATTCTTCATTTATTTCCATTTTTGTTACTTGTAGATGCTTTCAATTCTTACCTAGAGGCCCCAAACATTCATAATTATTTATAATTTTACTAGAGCTTGAATTTTGAGGCTGGTGTACAGGAGAGTTAGCTAGTGACTCTCTGTACACAGACAACTTTGCTTTCATATTCATATC